TGTCAGCATTGTTCTCAGGGCACAGCCTCATCTGGAGAGGGATGGAGAGCAGGTACCAGTGAGAGAATATGTGCCTTCCATACTGGAAGGGTTTTATCCTTGCTTTTCCCTCTGGGGTTGACTGGAAAGGCCATTCTGGAATGACAGATACTGATTCCAGCCTTTCTGCGCCGCATCCCACCCCTAGGTTGCATGATATGGTGTGGGGCTGGGGGGAGATTATGTGGAGGCAACTGTAAGCTGTGCAGTCTCTCCATCTGCATGGAGGGTCTCTGCCCACACCTCTGCATCACCCAACTCACTAACGGGCAAAGAGAAAGCTTTCTGTGATTCCCACGCTTAACCGCTACCACTGGTTCAGTGTCTCACGAATGTATGTGGGTCTTCAGGGCCCACCCCTCCCCTGCTTCTCAGAGCAGGCAGCTCTCCTGGGCCTCGGCATACAAAGCCCCCAGGGAATGCCCCGAGTTCTGAGCAAAAGTGGATCAACTTGGTTGCCAAAAGTTCTTGGTAGGCACATAGTGGCCATCCAGTGTTGGCCACAGATCCTGATGATTTGCTCTGCAGACCAACCTAGGAAAAGAGGCTGCAGTTTTATGCAGTTAAAAGTATGATGAGTTTCGCAGAATCTGAACACTAACGGATTGATCATGATACTAAGGAACAATTGTTTATTTTTTAGGTGTGATCATGGTATTATGGATATATTAAAAATAAGAGAGATCTTTTAGAAAGAGAGGCCCAGGTGCAACATTTATTAGTAAAATTGTGTGTTGTCTAGGGTTTATTTCAACATAATCTGACAATGGAAGGAGAGTGGGTACATAGATGAGACAAGCTTGGCCATTAACTTATGATTGTTGAACCTCTGATGGAGACTCAGCATACACAGAAGTGATTACACTATATTTTCTACTTTTGTCTGTGTTTGAAATTTTCCCTACTGTGGAGTTTTAAAGCGTACCCTTAGTAAATATGCAAACTACTAGAAAGGTTTAAGATAACCGAAATCCTTTAAAAAGGCTTTAATAAATGGCATTGCACTAGATGAATAAAGGCAGAGCAAGGTCTCCACAGTCCATGTAGAAGTCAGCAAAGCTAAGATTTCTTTTGAAAGACCTTCTGCTGTGGATTATACGTAAGTGAAAACTTAGGCTCAGAAAATTAAAATTAGATCACATACAAAGAAGGGAAAATCAGTACAGAGATCTTAAGTAGTATATAGTCTCTCTTGGCGATACTACTATTAGATTTACCAGGTAATCAAGACTGAACAACAAAAAAAACACATTTATTAATTTTCTGAAAAGTTTTGGATCCAGTTCTGCCAGAGGGGAGAGGTCCAGTTCCAGGGAACCTCCAGGCCTCCCAATTTGGTTTCTGAGTAAATGAGTGAGAACATGAAACCTCTCAGAGTCATTCTTTCTATTCCACTGATGGCAGGTCTGGGCCCCTAAATGGACACAAGTTTTTTTTATCAAAGGGATTGGAAATACCCAGGTGTAAGTCTATGGTGTAGAGATACGGCAAGATTCAGGAAGTGAATCCAAACCCTCAGGTTGGGCTCACTCTCAAAATGTAAGAGAAGCGAGGAGAATACAGTGAACGGGTCATTTCATCCTAGGTTAGAATTTAGATGTCTGTCACAATCCAAATTCCTAGTGCTGAATTCAATAAAAACTGTGCCAAGGGCTTCCCTGGTGGCGCAGTGGTTGGGAGTCCGCCTGCTGATGCAGGGGACGCGGGTTCGTGCCCCGGTCCGGGAGGATCCCGCATGCCGCGGAGCGGCTGGGTCCGTGGGCCATGGCCGCTGGGCCTGCGCGTCCAGAGCCTGTGCTCCGCGGCAGGAGAGGCCACAGTAGTGGGAGGTCCGCGTACCGCAAAAAAAAAAAACTGTGCCAAGGTTTTCATGTCACACTTCAACTGCCACTGAGGATCTGAATTAGCAGACAGACAGATAGTGACCACTTGAGCAAGTGGTCACTTGCCCTGCCACTTTCGAGTAAGATTAGAGTCTAACAGTGAACTATTGAGTGTCTCCTGGGGTACTAAGCACTTCACCAACATCATCGAATATAAACCTCTCAGCTATTACCTCCCCATTTTACAGATAAGGAAACCAAGGCTCAGAAAGGTTCAGAAAGTTACCTGAGGTCCTACCACTAGTAAGTTGCTAAGCTTGGGTTTAAATCCAGATCTCTCTGACTACAGAACCCAATGTCCTTCACCACAACGCAAGTCCATTTTATTAAATACCACAGACACTAATAAAATATATCAGAGAGTATTTTCTCTCTGGCCTTGACCAAGTAAACACATACTCTTTTGCTGATTCATTGGGCAAGTTGTCTAGCTATGTCCTTTATCCTTCACTGCAGTTAACCTCTAGTGTTGTGAAATTCCTTTCCCTCCAGAAGCTCATCAGGGCTCCAGTCTGGGATATGACGGCGTCACTTGTACATTTAAAAGTAGCCACTTGCTTTTCACACACACAGGCACATTCAAACACACATTGATTTTGGTGGATTTGAAAGTTAGAAACTAAGGAAAAAATCCCTGAGAAGGATGCCTGTGATCATCAAAAATAACTTCTGATTAGAATTCAGAAGAGCCCCATCTGAGGCAAAGTTGACTTGTTAACTTGCCAGAGAAACTGTGTATTTCCTGCCCAAGGAGGAATTTACTCTAGACCAGCAGGTATGCGGGCAAGATGGCTGCACACGACTTGAGAAGGAGGTAGAAAAGGAGGAATTCCTTTCAAATAGGGTCTTTCTATATTTCTGTAAGAGGGAAGGCGAGTCTTTCCCCTACAAGTTCAAGCTTATTAGCTCTGTGCCACCAACCTCATATGTGACCACCAAAATTTATTGTATAAGTTTTAAGCGAATGCAGTTACAATGTCCTTCTTATCCCTGAAGGACAAGTTCTTTGGCAGGAAAACTGAATATAATCCTTCCTTTTGAGGGGTATAAATATTTATCGCCCTAACACTACTAGTGCAACAAACCTGTGGCTAATATACTCTCAATGCAAAGATTTACCACAGTAGCTGGCCCATTACAGTCATTATTTAAACAGCATCTTCTCCATGACATAACTTTTGGGCTAGCTGACCAAAAGTATTTGAAGGTAAAATAAGGCATCTTGTTTCCTTGTTTACAACACTCACAGGGGTAGGCTACCGTAAATCCAATTCAAGTACTCCTTGCTTGAGTTTCATATTATATATTTCGAGAAGCTGCCATCTATTAGGTTTAGTGTTTTGTAGTACTTTGTGCTGGGATTTCTCATGAGTGGTAGTGAAGTGGCTTGTCTATGATGCTAGGCCATAAGACATTCTTAGGTGTAGTAAATGCCTTCATTTAAATATGTGCAAAGGACAAATAATGGCTCTTCCCCACAGACATCTCACAGTGCTCTGAAGTCAGTGGCACAAATGGTCAATAATTTATCTAATTCATTAAAGTAATTGCAATTTAAGGGGTCAAAATTTATGCTTTTCTTAAATTAAAACAGTCACGGTTTTTCCTATAATGTCACTCTCGCTGGTTTATATTTTGTTTAATTGTGGATTTTGATTGATTTTAAATGAGAAAATTCCAGTCCAGTGTAGCTTAATAAAAAAGGGAATTTATTAGTTAACATAACTGAAGAGTCTTAGGGGGGTAACATCTACAGGTATGGCTTGACCAAGGTGCTAAAACAGTGTTATCTGGACTCTAACTCTCTCCATCTTCTGATTTGCTTTCCATTATGTTGATGGCATTTTCATGTAGGCTCTCCCTATGTAGCAAAACAGCTTATCTTATAACTTAGCAACACCAATAGAAAGAAAACCTTTCCTTCCCAATAATTCCAGAAAAACTCTGGGATTGAGTCTCACTATAGTAATAAGGTTACTTGTCCATTCCTACCTCCAGTGGGGATAAAACACACTGGTTTGTTAGATCAGTCACTCACCAGGACGGGAGGTACAGGGCAGGTGGTGGGTTTTTAGTCTCACTCAACTACATAGGCAAAGAATAAGATGCTTTCTCAAAGAAAAATTGGGATGCTGTTTCCAGAAAAAAGAAAAATGAGAGCCAAGCAGACAAAACCAAAAGCAGTCAACTCCATAGAGCAAGGTGGAGCTTTAGCAAAAGCACTTGTCAAACACACCTCACAGATGATCCTGTCTTACCCTTTACTCTCCTGAATGACAACAGTGATGACTTTGTGGTGGTATTTGTGGATTATAATTTCATAAATTCCAACAATTTGCTTTCTCATTTTCTCGACAGATACATTTTGAATACGAAAGAGACCAAGGGAAAATGCAAAAAGAGTAAGTAGTATCTGCATATCCACACTGACTCTGATACCATTATGGTAAACTTTGCTTAAATTTACATCCAGATTTTTTTAAGTGCCATCTCTCACGTGTGTGAAAGCAGATAAAAGTTTGAGAGCTGCTCCGAGACCCCTGAAGAATGAGCCTTCGGGTATAACCCAACTCTGCAGAAGGAGAGCCTCTAGCTCATTAAAGATTTTTCTGGCTGCTTAGTTTATGTTATTTGGGTTTACTTTGGAATTTGTTCTTAGATTTTCAACCTATACCAGCATATTATGCAGGAATTGCCAAGGATGTTATTGATATCCACAATATAATTTGCAGAACAATCCATGCCTTAAAATGAAGGTAGAAATGAATGATTTTCATGGCTTTATACATTTAGTTTTTTAGTGTCCTAACATGATACTATCCTGTTTAACATTGTCATAGAACAAGGTATTCTATATAAGAAGATTTCCTAGATAATTGTTTTAATTACGTGTTACTTTGGTATATTTTTCTAAAGTGCATTATTTTATGTAGTAGCTTAGTCAGCACACATATCTGGGTCATAGATAAAAACATCAACTAAGTTAATATGTCAAAAATCAGTGACAGTCTCAAGGCTTATAACTTACTGGGGTTTGTATGGGTGTTTAGCCAATATGTTAGATGACTTCAAACTCACATGCAGTTGGAGTTGTGTCTGCTGTGTCCTCCTGTGGCTTCATAGTGCTGTAAGTATATCTTCCTGGTTGCCATTTCCAACCTGTGGCAGAAGAGAAAATGGTAAGTGAGCTTGTTAGAATTTGTCTAAAATAAGACTACATAGATCATTTGAGGAGCTCTGCAATGAATAAGGTACAACAGTGGCAGTGCATAAACTATTTTATGTTCATCGACCACTACACTCATTAGTCTAAGACAGCAAGGCCACATCTGCATTCTTAGAACCTACCAGAGTAGATGATATATAATTGGTACTCAATAAATATATACTGAATGGCTAAATGAATTTACAGTTTGGCACTTATTTAACTGCTCTGAAACTTTTAAATTTCTTGGCGCTTTCCAGAGACTTCCGGGAAGATGGCGGAAGAGTAAGACACGGAGATCACCTTCCTCCCCACAGATACACCAGAAATACATCTACGCGTGGAACAACTCCTACGGAGCACCTACTGAACGCTGGCAGAAGACCTCAGACCTCCCAAAAGGCAAGGAACCCCCCACGTACCTGCTTAGGGCAAAAGAAAAAAGAATAAACAGAGACAAAAGGACAGGGACGGGTCCTGCACCAGCGTGAGAGAGCTGTGAAGGAGGAAAAGTGTCCACACACTAGGAAGCCCCTTCGCGGGCGGAGACTTCGGGTGGCGGAGTGGGGGAGCTTGGGAGCCGCGGAGGAGAGCACAGCAACAGGGGTGCGGAGGCCAAAGCGGAGAGATTCCAGCGCAGAGGATCGGGCCGACCGGCACTCACCAGCCGAGAGGCTTGTCCTCTCGCCCGCCGGGGCAGGCGGGGCTGCGAGCTGAGGCTCCAGCTTCTGTCGGAGCGCCGGGAGAGGACTGGGGTTGGCGGCGTGAACACAGCCTGCAGGGCGTTAGTGCGCCGCGGCTAGCCGGGAGGGAGTCCCGGGAGAGGTCTGGACCTGCCGAGGAGGCAAGAGACTTTTTCTTCCCTCTTTGTTTCCTGGTGCGCGAGGAGAGGGGATTGGGAACGCTGCTTAAAGGAGCTCCAGACACGGGCGCGAGTCGCGGCTAAAAGCGCGGACCCCAGAGACAGACATGAGACGCTAAGGCCGCTGCTGCCGCCACCAAGAGGCCTGTGTGCGAACACGGGTCACTGTCCACGCCCCCTTCCGGGGAGCCAGTGCAGCCCACCACTGCCAGGGTCCCGGGATCCAGGGACAACTTCCCCCGGAAGAACGCACGGTGCGCCTCACGCTGGTGCAACGTCACGCCGGCCTCTGCCGCCGCAGGCCCGCCCCACACTCCGTGACCCTCCCTCCCCCCCCGGCCTGAGTGAGCCAGAGCCTCCGAATCAGCGGCTCCTTTAACCCCGTCCTGTCTGAGCAAAGAACAGACGCCCTGCGGCGACCTACACGCACAGGCAGGGCCAAATCCAAAGCTGAGCCCCTGGGAGCTGTGAGAACAAAGAAGAGAAAGGGAAATCTCTCCCAGCAGCCTCAGAAGCAGCGGATTAAAGCTCCACAATCAACTTGATGTACCCTGCATCTGTGGAATACCTCAATAGACAACGAATCATCCCAAATTAAGGAGCCCTGTGGATGAAAGGCTCTTGGTGCTACAGCCAGGAGTCAGTGCTGTGCCTCTGAGGTGGGAGAGCCAACTTCAGGACACTGGTCCAACTGTGTCCACTGTGTCCAACTTCAGGACACAGGACAGAGGCCTCCCAGCTGCACATAATATCAAACGGCAAAAATCTCCGAGAGATCTCCATCTCAACGCCAGCACCCAGCTTCACTCAACGACCAGCAAGCTACAGTGCTGAACATCCTATGCCAAACAACTAGCAAGACAGGAACACAACCCCACCCATTAGCAGAGAGGCTGCCCAAAATCATAATAAGTCTACAGACACCCCAAAACACACCACCAGACGTGGACCTGCCCACCAGAAAGACAAGATCCAGCCTCATCCACCAGAACACAGGCACTAGTACCCTCCACCAGGAAGCTTACACAACCCACTGAACCAACCTTAGCCACTGGGGACAGACACAAAAAACAACAGGAACTACGAACCTTCAGCCTGTAAAAAGGAGACCCCAAACACAGTAAGATAAGCAAAATGAAAAGACAGAAAAACACACAGCAGATGAAGGAGCAAGATAAAAACCCACCAGACCTAACAAATGAAGAGGAAATAGGCAGTCTACCTGAAAAAGAATTCAGAATAATGATAGTAAAGATGATCCAAAATCTTGGAAATAGAATAGACAAAATGCAAGAATCAGTTAACAAGGACCTAGAAGAACTAAAGATGAAACAAACAATGATGAACAACACAATAAATGAAATGAAAAATACTCTAGATGGGATCAATAGCAGAATAACTGAGGCAGAAGAACGGATAAGTGACCTGGAAGATAAAATAGTGGAAATAACTACAGCAGAGCAGAATAAAGAAAAAAGAATGAAAAGAACTGAGGACAGTCTCAGAGACCCTGGGACAACATTAAACGCACCAACATTCGAATTATAGGGGTTCCAGAAGAAGAAGAGAAAAAGAAAGGGACTGAGAAAATATTTGAAGAGATTATAGTTGAAAACTTCCCTAATATGGGAAAGGAAATAGTTAATCAAGTCCAGGAAGCACAGAGAGTCCCATACAGGATAAATCCAAGGAGAAATACGCCAAGACACATATTAATCAAACTGTCAAAAATTAAATACAAAGAAAACATATTAAAAGCAGCAAGGGAAAAACAACAAATAACACACAAGGGAATCCCCATAAGGTTAACAGCTGATCTTTCAGCAGAAACTCTGCAAGCCAGAATGGAGTGGCAGGACATATTGAAAGTGTTGAAGGAGAAAAACCTGCAACCAAGATTACTCTACCCAGCAAGTTTCTCATTCAGATTTGATGGAGAAATTAAAAGCTTTACAGACAAGCAAAAGCTGAGAGAGTTCAGCACCACCACACCAGCTTTACAACAACTGCTAAAGGAACTTCTCTAGGCAAGAAACACAAAAGAAGGAAAAGACCTACAATAACGAACCCAAAACAATTAAGAAAATGGGAATGGGAACACACATATCGATAATTACCTTAAATGTAAATGGACTAAATGCTCCCACCAAAAGACACAGATTGGCTGAATGGATACAAAAACAAGACGCATATATTTGCTGTCTACAAGAGACCCACTTCAGACCTAGAGACACATACAGACTGAAAGTAAGGGGATGGAAAAAGGTGTTTCATGCAAATGGAAACCAAAAGAAAGCTGGAGTAGCAATTCTCATATCAGACAAAATAGACTTTAAAACAAAGACTATTAGAAGAGACAAAGAAGGACACTACATAATGATCAAGGGATCGATCCAAGAAGAAGATATAACAATTGTAAATATTTATGCACCCAACATAGGAGCACCTCAATACATAAGGCAAATACT